TGCCTTGTCGGCCATTTCTTTTGTTAAAGTTTTTATGTAAGTTCTTCTGACTGTCAGTGTTTTTAAATCTGTACTTTGGCTTCAACAAGGAGCAGATATAAGATTTTTTTTTCTTCTTTCTGCACCATTGTCATACAGTAATTGGCTTACTTTGTTTTTTAATGAACTTTTGTTTTTATTTTGAAACAAATGAATAAAAAAAACCTGAAAGCCAAACACAAAATGTTCCAAGAAATGAGCAGTTTCAGTCCAGTATGAGCTGTAAATAACTTTCAGCTTTTACCACATCAAGTGTTAGCACAATATCTGTTAAAATGACTGAATTGTGTAACTTTTATGTTGCTTAATGTTGATTAGCTGGCAGCATTATTAAACTGGTTTGGTTGTAATAGTTCAGTGAATTTTAGGGGAACATTCAAAGCTACATTTGATTATTTTAAAAACTGGGACTCACACGACAAACAGACAAAACCATTCCCATCACCTCATCCAGATGATTTCCTGTTATCAGTTGCTGATGTTGGGATTATGATGGATTGTTGGAGCCGAGACTAAAGCCACTTCTGTCACTGAGCAACTGGAAACAGATGGGAGGAAAAGAAGCAGATGAAGGCAGAGAATCTGTTGCACAGCTGGGACAGAAACCAGAAACCTGCTGGAAACCAGAAACCAGGTTTTTATTTCTGGAATAAACTGGATGACAGGTGACATCTGGCTGTGACGGCTGCTGATGCCTCACCCGTGTCTCACTCCCTGACAGCACTCTTAAGACAGGCAGCAGAAACCCAAGGCTGTGCTTAAACTGCAGAATGGATGGATGTTTAGTGGATATAAAAAATGTAATGTGCATTTTTATGGAAAAAATAGTGAATTGTCCTTATTGATCCTTTATCTGTGAGAAACATTAAAAACATCAACACACAAATTTTGATTGACATGGTCAGTAATGGAGTCAATAATCAGACACAACAATGTTTTGAGTGTTTTTTTTTTCTGACATTGCATGATTAAACTTTCCCCGGGACAAACTGACACAAGAACAATATTGCTGTTCCTCAGAAACAAACATAAGAGGAGGGTTAAAGAATACCACTGAACATCTAAACCATAGTTTTAACAAATTTCCTCCACTGAGCAGATCTTTGATTTTTTTTATGAGTAAATGACCATAAATTAAATCTGAAAAGGTCAGAGAAACTTATTTTAATCATTTGTTTTAATCTTAGTAACATTGTTGGAGTTGTATCTTTGATCATGTTGAAATTTTGTTTTTGATCATTAATTAAAATCAGGTTACGTCTAAAGTAAAATTACCTGACAGGAAGAAGTCAAAGATAAATTTTAAAGAGGGAGATATATAGCAGAAATGACTGGAAAACTGCAACATAAAAGCTTTAGAAACTGAAGTCAAAAACCAGTTTAACATTTTAGATTAGATAGAACTTTATTAATTAATCCCTTGGGAAGATTACTTCAGGATATTCAAAGGTTTTTCCTCAACATATCAGACTCAAAGCATCAATGTGTTTAACAAAAAAAACAGCTTCTCTGTTTATGATCCGATGTATTTTAAGAAGCAGGAAATGCAGCTGGTTAAATTTCCTGCTGGTTTAGTTGTGCACATGTTTTGTGTTGTGCAGGAAAAAAAAGTGGTTTTCATCTGGTGAGAGTGAGAGCAGAGCCGGGATGAAGGAATGTTGTTCTGCTGACTTTAACATGACTCAGTTCGTTTAGCCCAGAGTAAAGCCTCACATCTGGGAACGGTTCTGAGTGAGAATCCCAACTGTGACCCATCAGTGACCGAAATGTAGAAACAATCAGAATCTGCTGGATCTTATTATATGTAAAGTTAAATAAGTTCTTATCGTTTTAAGAATCAGATGATGGGTTTTATTTAGCTTTCTTTGATGGAGTTCAACAGCTGATCCTCAGTCAGATGCAGGTTTTTGTGGAGATTCAGAACAGCTGAGCAGCTCAGACTCTGGAGTGGAGCCATCAGTCCAGAATCACACTGCAAAAACTGTCCATCTAACCAAGTTTTAAAATCTTATATCCAGCCAAAAAGTCTTTTTGATCTTGTTTTGAGACTGATTTACTAAACAAGAACTGATTGTGTAAGAATAATAATCTTGTTTTCAGAATGTGTAAGATTATTTGTCTTGTTAGTCTGAAAATTTAATTCAGTCAAGATTTTCTGCCATTGAAGTAATGAAAAT